AGTAGTGGGGGAGCTGAAGAGTCACCGACAGGGATGGGAAAGGTCCAGGTGTGCTCCCCGCCGTGGCTAGCGCTCCCCCGCCCCCCCCCCCCCCCCCCCCCCCGCCGTGGCTAGCGCTCCCCCCCCCCCCCCCCCCCCCCCCCCCCCCCCCCCCCCCCGCCGTGGCTAGCTTCTCTGAGAATCAAGATGCTTGAATGAATTCTAGGACTACTCCCATCATTTGTAGACAACAAGGAGGGCTAAAGCAGGGCACGAAGTCATTTCTTTTTCCCTTTCTTTTTTTGGCCAGTCCTGGGATTTTAACTCTGGGCCTGGGTGCTGTCCCTGAGCTCCTTTTGCTCAAGTCTAGTGTTCTACCATTTGAGCCACAGCTCCACGTCTGGCTTTTTCTGTGCTTAATTGGAGATAAGAGGTTCATGGACTTTCCTGCTCGGACTAGCTTCGAACTGTGATCCTCCGTGCGTAAGTAGCTCAGTGAGTAGCCTCGTGAGTAGCTAGGACTACTGGAGTGAGCCATGGGTGCCCAGCTGGCATGAATATTTCCTTTGCTTAGCTAGGGTTTAGGTCATCTGCTATGCACCTGTGTGAAGTGCCCCGTGGGGGAGGGGCAGAGGCCAGAAGTTCTTGCCCTAAAAGGGCCTTAAAGGCTGGCTGAATTTTATATAGTGGGCTATGCAGCACATAGGTTGTAAGGTATTTTTTGTTTTTGTTTTTTTGTCTGTTGTGGTCTGTGTGAACTCTGGGGGTGGGCATTGTCCTTCAGCTCAAGGCTAGTGTTCTACCACTTGAGCCACAGTGCCACTTCTGGCCTTCTCTGTTTACGTGGTGCTAAGGAATCGAACCCAGGGCCTCATGCATGCAAGGCAAGCAGTCTACCACTGAGCCACCTTCCCAGCCCCATAGATCGTAAGTTTGGATAGATTATATCTCCTTTGTTATGCAAAGAAATCATGGTCTTCATAGTAAATCTCAAATCATATTTTTGCCACACACACACACACACACACACACACACACACACACACACACACACAAAAGCAACTGCAGACATTCAAAGGGGAGAGCTTTTTTTTTTTTTGGGTCCGGTCGTGGGGCCTGAACTCTGGGCCTGGGCACTGTCCCTCAGCTCTTCAGCTCAAGGCTAGCGCTCTACCACTTGAGCCACAGCGCCACTTCTGACTTTTTTCTTCTTGCTTATGTGGTGCTGAGGAATCGAACCCAGGGCCTCAGGCATGCAAGGCAAGCACTCTACCACTGAGCCACCTTCCCAGCCCGAGCTTTTTGTTCTGTTGGTTGTGGGGCTTGAATTCAGTGACTGGATACTATCCCTATACTCTTTTGCTCAAGGCTAATGCTCTATCGCTTGAACCACACAGCAACTTCCACTTTTGTGGTGATTAATTTGAGATGAGTCTCCTGGACTTTCCTATTTGGGCTTTGAACTATAATCCTCAGATCTCAGCCTCCTGAGTAGCTCGGGTTACAGGTAGGAGCCTGGCTCAAGGGCTTTTTGATTTTGTACTAGTCCTGAGGCTTGAACTCAGGGCCTGTGCGCTATCCCTGAGCTTTTTTGCTCAAGGATGGCACTCTACCACTTGAGCCATAGCTCCACTTCCAGCTTTTTTTTTTTTTTTGGTGGTTAATTGGATCTAAGAGTCTAGGGACTTTCCTGCCCTGGCTAGGAGATGGCTGGATAGATGATAGATAGATCTTTTTGTATCTTTTTTATATCTTTTTATACACATTCATATACAGATATCTCTCTATATTCATATATAGATATCTTATATATCTTTAGGTGTATATAATAAACCATAATCTCATACATTCTTGCTCTCTTGTATGTTTTCTATTACTACACATCATTAGTACTGTTTGCTGTAGAAGTATATGTCTTTCACAAAACTATGGAAGATTCTATGCTTTAACTTCTTCATCTGGTGGCTGCCCTACCGAGTCAATGGAGCTAGCCAGCATTGTGTTGTGTGTTACATAGTAGTATGTGTTGTATTTCTGTTGGTTGTTGTTAAACTAGTTGCTGTTGTATTCTGTTGTGATTGTAGCACTGTTACATTACTGCATTGTGTTCTTTATGACTGTCCAGAAGTGGATTTCCTGGCTCAGGATGAACGCTCCCAGGACCCTCGGACACGGCTTGTGTCACCCTGCGGTCTGTGTGCAGATTCCCAACACGGCTGAGTCTCAGCACCTACAGCCTCCTCAGCACCTACAGCGAGCACCTCCTTTCTCTTAGCTTTAAGGAGTGAGTGTAAGTGCGAGGTGTTACCTCGTTTTTATTTTCACTGTCTAATAACTCCCAGTGTTGAACTTTTTCCATTATATGCTGGCTGGTAATGTTTTTATTTTCATTTTTCTATGTTTTAGGTCTTAGGTCTATTTCTACTTAACTATTAGGACCCCTTAGCATTTTCTTATTGTATTACTTGGACTTTTTTTTGCCGATTATGGGGCCTGAACTCTGGGGCTGGGCCCTATCCCTCAGCTCTTCAGCTCAAGGCTAGCGCTCTACCACTTGAGCCACAGCACCACTTCCAGCTTTTTCTGCTTATGTGGTACTGAGGAATCAAACCCAGGGCCTCATGCATACGAGGCAAGCACTCTACCACTGAGCCACATTCCCAGCCCTAATTGGACTCTTTTAACAGAGGAATAAATCTTTGTTATCTGGGCTGTAAATATTTTTCCTGACTGTTCTCTTATTTTGGCTATAGGTTAAAAAACATTCACACACACACACACACCTTCTATGGCTGTTATAGGGAATTTCCTCTCCTTCCTTATTAAGTCTGATGGTTGTGTGCTGACTCTTCTCATGATGATATAGGGGTGCTCAGAGAGTAGAGCCCATGATCTCACAGGAAAATGTAATTTGCTCGCCACCCAGAGTTAAGCCGAAAATAACACAGACTCTTCACCCACTCAGCGGATGTTTCCCTTGATTTTAGGGAAATGAAGTAAGCAGAAAGGAAGCTAACAAAACTATCGCTTGATTATCATTACAGGTTATAATTTTAGCTCTTAATGACGGGCATCGTCTAGACATCCTCCATCCTTAAGACCGGCGTTTCTGCGGACGTGGCTGCAACTCTGTTTGACAAATGTATATAGTCCACTCACAAGGAAACCTCAGGTAAGTTCTCAGGAGACTCTCCCGCTCCCACCTACTCCCAGCCGCCTTCTTCAGAGTTTCCCTTGCAAGGAGTCATTAGGGCTTTGGCATTTTGGAGACTAGGATGTGACTCCCCTCTTGTGGGTGACACTGCCCTGGGGATCCTTGGACATCCTGGGTCTAGCCAAGTAGGCGTGTGGCTGGCTACGGAATGCCTTGGGGGTCTGGGGGAGGCAGGAAGCCAACCTGGCTGGATCTTAATGTGAACCACACATCGATCTTCCTGGAGGAAGAATGTTGTGTCCTGTTGTCAGAATGTGGCAACTTTTACTTACTAATGTACAGGGCAGGACGTGCACCTTACACTAATAGAACATTCCTAGAATCTCTTGCCCTGTTTCCAAGTTTCTTTCAACTTTGATGGTTGATTCTCCTTTACGGAAGTTCTTTTTTCCGTATGTTCCCTGCTAAACAATTTTCTCTCTCTCCCACCCTCCCTTCCTCCCTCTCCCTTTCCTCTCTTTTCTCTCCTCCCCCCCTCTTTTCCAGTACTAGAGTTGAGCTCGGAGCTCACTGTTTTTAGGAAGCACTCTACTGCTTGAGCCACATCGTCAGCCCCTTTTGTTCTGGTCTTACTTTGTGCTCAGGCCAGCCTAGACCTCAATCCTCCTATTTCTGCTTCCGTCTGTAGCTGAGCTGACGTTTTCTTCTGTTGCGATGGGATCTTGTAAATGTTCTATTTTTTTGTCTGTTGTCGAGCTATGACCCACCCCATATCCACTTCCCATTACAGGTAGTGCGCCACAAGCGCTCAGGTGAGTCCTGTCTTTTCTGATTAGAGACTCTGCATAGAGTCCTGTAGAAGAAGCCCAGACCTGTGATTGGGTGACGGTGACAACAGATGATGACACACAAAGACACGATGCTGGCCTCTGAGTCTAGATCTATAAATATATTTATTATAATATAACAAGAACTTAACAATAAACATATACTATGTACAATACCATTACAGAGAACCCTGTTTTATATCATTCACAGAAATAGCCAGTTTTGCTCCAGTGTGATAGGTGAGGAGAGAAACGGAATTTCAGTGCCATCCGCGTGGAGTCTTGTTGGCCACTAGCACCTCCCTTGGAGGCAGACACACACCACCATGCTCACATTCGCTCTGCCCCAGGCAGTTAGAAATTTGTGCTCCAGTCCTTGGGTTCACACTTGCACCCTGTTTGACATAAATACTTTAAATGACATACAATGTATGTAGTTTTGTGCTTATTATTTTCTTTTTTTAAATAATAAATAATATTATTAAAAACTGCATAACGAAGCTCGGTATCTCGTTCAGCGGGAGCCACGCTTGTCGTGTGGGAAGTTGATGCCCGAGAGGAGCATTGGAAACTTTGTGTCATCAGATACTGAAAGATGGAAAGCATGTCCTGCCTCTGACTCCTTGAGAAGTGGTTCTTAGCAGGGAGTGCTGACGAGCTAGCTGACTTCCCAAGGTAAGTGAATGCGGATGGGGTTCCAACTTCGACTACACGGCGCAGAGGTGGCGGCCTTCTTCCTGCTCTTGGAATGGAAACTCATGACTGGGTGAGGTTTGAGGGTCTAAGGACTAGTGGGAAGGCTTTTTCTCTTTGGAGCCTTGGCGGGCCCTCCCTTCTGGCTTTCCTTTGCTCGTGTTAATGTGTGACAAGGGGAGGAATTCTGCTCCTCAGGCCTTGGCTGTCATGGCTCATCTAAGAAGGCTGCCCCTGTCCCAAGAGCTCTTGGTGGTAGGTGCCTTAATATATAGCTATAAATATCAAAAATAGTCTCCTGTGCTTTGTAGACTTTTTTTTTCCTCCCTCCCTCCCTCCCTGGGTCCCTTCCTCCCCCCTGGCCAGGGTCCTCAGCTTTACCTCACGGAGGGAGCTGAGCTGGCCTCAGGAGCCAGCACCGCCTCTTTCTAGGAATAGACCCTTCTTCCTCTGACGATGCCTCCAACAAGGCACGGTCTTTATGGGGCTGTCTGGGAGTTACTTTTTTTTTTTTCCAAAAATAAAGTGAGGGCATGGCCCACCCCAGGAGAGATCCTCTATTCTGCACATAGAAAAAACGAGAGAGCAAACGGTCCCCCACCCCCACCCCACCCCGTGCTCTGGGCCGAGCCCGAAGAACTATGGGAACCCCACAGCATCCCTCGCGCGGCCTCCTCCTCTCCGTACTTAAAAATAGCCTTTTGTTTATCAAGAAAACACCTTGGAAAATCTAAATAATTCATATTGGATAAGAGAAAGCTAGCGCAACCGCGTTGTCCTTCTCCAGCTTAAAACAAAACAAAACAAAACCTAAAACAACAAAACCCAAGAACCCAAAACAAAACAAAAAAAACCATGGTAGAAAAACCCACGAAGGCCAGATGCTGCCGCAGCCAGTCCTGCAGCTTCCACCGGCCCCACCCCCGCTCGGGCAGCCAGACCGGACAGCCGGACAGCCCTCTCGTGCATCCCAGTGGGGACCAGCAGCATCCTCAACTTGGTGCTACACAGTCCTGTCCTCGCTGCTTCTCTCAGCCCCTTGAAGGTGTAGACTGGTTAAAAAACAAAAGTTGGAATCAAAGTGACAAGGACACTTTGATCTTCTTCCAAAAAAGCCTCATACCCAATATTGTCGTAGGCTAACTGATCTATGGTAGATGAGGGATCAAGCTTGCTCTGCAGGAAGGGAAACACAGCTTCTCTCTCCCAGTTGAAAATAAAAATATATGTGAAATATTGCACCGGGTAGAGTGAGCGAGAGCCTGGGTTTCGAGCAAGCGCCTCTGCGGAGCCAGCCAGCCCTGGCGTAGGCCCGGCTCCCCGCTCCTGTGCACAGAACGCCATGCTCCGTTTCACCCAAAGGCGACGATGATCGTTCTACATTCAAATGTAGAGAATATTCAAAATGGTGAGCGCAGTGAGTTCCTGGATTGTGTTCTGTGGGCCTCTTACTGGTGGTGTTGAAAGAAATGATCACTGTGTATAGCATTTGCCTCACCGGACTTTCTCCACAGTCTTGTCGTGGGCTTTCTGCTGATGTCAGCCGCTTTGAATGTATTTCTTTATCACCACGCAGCCGTGTCTGAACACAGGGCAGGGCATGTGGGGGAGGAGGGTCCATGTGTTGGTGGCGGGCTCGTAGGCTTCCATGTTGCCCAGGGCAGGTCCCTCGCTGCTCACGATGCCTCCCGTGGCATAAATCTTACCATCCAGCACCACGGCACTGCCGGAGGCAAAGTGGACAGAGAATCAGGCCTTGAACTTCCAGCTTCACATCCCCAATGCTGCGACCACTGCAGGCTGCCCGCAACCTTTTGCAAAGGTGTGGGATCTGGAGGTCATTCTTTGCCTTTTGCCCTGGGCTGATTCAACACCTCTTTCCTGCAGGGACAACCCCACGTGGTGCTGCAGCCCTCGCTTCCCGCTCCGCCCTGCTGAGCTAACTCTGTTACCTGTCCTCAGCTCCACCGCTGAGGCCTTACTGGCCATCTTTTTATGTTGACTACAGAGTCTTCTCACTCGGGGACATGACTCAAGACTGCGAGGACCTGGTTCAAGGCCTCGTCAGCCACTTAACTGGGAGTTCCGCCTCAGTCCGGGGTTCAGGGTTCAACCTCTCTATTGTCTTACCGCGTGTACTTTGGGCCTGCTGTCTGCCCATGACTGCGAGGGTCAGGCATGTGCTGCAGGGTGCCAATGGCTGTGCCCAGACCCCTTCCCTGGGGTCGCTCACTGGCTTGGTCCTGTCCTCCTGACCAGCTCTTCCCATTATGACAGCCCAGCACCTCACCCTCTCTGCTCTTTCTCTGTCGGCATAGTCCCAGCCCCTTCACACTCGTGTCCACAGCCAGCTTTCTGCCTCACTTCCTTTTCATTCTCATTAGAGGCTATTTCTTCTTGGCTATCACCTGATCACCTTCCCTCCCTCCCTCCCTCTCTACCTCTTTCCCTCCCTTCTTCTTTCTTTCCTTTTGATAGCAAAGGTTTGAACCCAAACACTTGCTGGTCAGGTACTATACCACTCCAGCCATGCCCTCGTGCATTAGTTATTTTTCAGGTAAGGTCTCATGTTTTTGACTGGGGCTGGCTTCAGACTGCGATCTTCCCGTCTACAGCCTCCTATATAGCTGGGACAACAGGTGCCTGCCACCACACCTGCTTATTCATTGGGGGGGCGGCGGGGAGGGGTCTCTGTAATCTAGATCCTCGGAATCTTGACCTCCTGAGTAACTGTGAGGATAGGAGTGAGCCACCGCGTCTGAGAGACATAGCTCTTCAAAGGCTCTGCTGTTTCTGAAATGCCTCACACAGAACACGTATCTGTGGACTTAGTCGGCTGAGGCTTCTAGCTTGCTTTCCAGCTCCACACCCCCAGGTCTTCATGTCTCTCCCTTTATGGCCAACTTTTCCCCACTCCCCTTGTTCACATCTCCCCTGGCATTCAGTCAGGGCCGCTTCCCACAGTGGGGCTCAATAATCCAGTTGTGCTTATCAGTGACAGTGACTACCCTGCACACGGCCCCTTCAGAGGACATTACAAAGAGGACAGCTCAGGAGCGGCAGCGCTGGAAGGCCAGCAGGGCTGAGCAGTTCTCTGGCCCATGGCTGATTCACATAGAGACGTGTCCTGAGCCAGGGAGGGTATTTGTCCAAGTTGTTTAATGTGCTTGGAGTAGGGCTGTGTAGGCCCTCAAGCAATACTTCATGCTAGTCACACGCTGAAGACTGATTACTTCTGCATTTGCACCAGGAGAATCTGCTATGGCCGCTGATAGTGAGGTGATTGAGGCCTGGAAGGGTAAGGGCTTGTATCCCCGCTCCCTGCAGAGGCAGGACCCTATGTGTTCTTCCCCATCACATCCTGAGGCTCCAGATCGGCGGCGTCTTGTGTCCCTCACCCGATCTACACCCCAAGGGCCACAGGCATTACCCTGAGCAGCCACTGTCCCTGGGAGACACCCTGGGAGAGCACTGGCCTCACTTCTCAAAGAGAGGAAGATGGCCTGGATGCATCTCCCAGTGTGAGACGGAGTTACTGGAGTTAGAGGGTGGAGCTCCTGGGGCAATGGTTACCATAACTACCCTTTGGAGCTACCCTTGGGAGCCCCCTCCCCCCCCTCACCGCTCCCCTCTGCTCTTTACATCCATTGAGGGAAGGGCCACTGCTCTCATCTGGAGATGGCTTTGGCCACGGAAAAGTTGTGAGCCCTTGTCATCACAGCCCCAGGGGATGCGTCTTACCTGCAGAACTGGCGAGAGTGGTTCATGTTGGGGCCTGCCTTGATGTTGCCTTTGTCGGGGTCGTAGATGGTGGTGGCCCTGGCATAGGCTCCACCCAGGATGAACACGAAGCCATTCAGGGTGACTGCAGGCGCATACTTGTTGTCTGTGAGGACAGCAGGGCCGGGAGGTCAGTGTGCGGTCTCAGACAGAGCACCGCGCCCCCTCCCCGCAGCATGTCACCGATTGACTGGACGGTGGGCCTGGGCCCATGATCGGCCTGCCCTTCTCCAGGTGCTACAACCCCTGGCTGCACCTGGGCTCTGGGGGCACCCACTCACTGCCCAGATGCGGGTCTGCAGAGTCATTTGGCTTAGCCAATGGGCTGCAGAGGATGAACGAACCAGTGTGTGTGTGTGTGTGTGTGTGTGTGTGTGTGTGTTGGGGGGAAGAGGAGCACACTGGCTCGACCTGCAGAGAACCCTGGTCCTCACCTATCATCGGGGACTCGATGAAGCTCCACGTGTTGGTCTGAGGCACGTAGGACTGGAGGACGCCCGCGGCCCGGCCGGCCTCGTTCACCCCACCGAACACATAGATCTTGCCACCGCACACGGTGGCTGCTGCCGAGTGCACTGCCTTGGGCAGAGGGGCCACTGCTTCCCATTGGTTCGTGATGGTGTCGTACCTGCGGAGAGAGGGGGCCTTGTGCAGGGAAAGGACGCAGACAGGGCTATGGCCACAGCCACAGGCAGCAGCCCTTGGGGGAGCACAGCATCTGCTTCCTCTCCGACAGCCAGAGCCACAGCGGAGGGCACCCAATGAGGCCCTGCAGACTTCCTAGGGTTGCCCCAAACTGCCTGACCGCTTGAACCTCAGTGGGTCTGTCCAGTCTCTCTGCAGATCCTGCCTTTCCTTCTGCACACGAGCTGCCCATCCCCGAACCCAGTGGCCCTCTGTGCAGCTCAGTCCTACCCTTCTCCGTGGCAACCTTGCACGGAGCATCCGAGGCTCTGGGCTGGGGACCAGAGAACTGGAGAACCAAGTGCTCTTCCTGCCTTTGGGGAACCGATGACAGCGCAGGGCTGCGAGTGAGGGGGTGGCACTGCACACGGGGGCGTCCTGCCCGCACAGGCGGGGAGAGACCTCTTGAAGGAGGGATCCTGGGCTGCGTCTAAAGAGGGAATGGGCAATCCCAGCTGAGCACAGACGAAGGGACGGGACACCCTTGGAGTGTGGAATGGCCGGAGGTCAGGTGAAGGCCATGCATGCAGAGGTCAGGAATCCAGCTTTATGTGCTGGACAGTGGAAGAGCCCTGAACATTTCTGCAGAGAAAGAACGCAATCAGAGGCTTCTGGAGAGGTCACTGTGGCTGCAGGGTGGAGAGGGGCTTCAGCGAGGAGGCTGGAAGCAGGGCGACTAGACAAGTCTGCTACAGGAAGCTTGGGCCAATGGGTGACCAGAGCAGGAGGAGGTGGGAAGAGGAGAGGGTCGGATCACTGCTGGAAGGCCAGAGCTGCCCATGGTGACACAGGGTCTTCTGCCTTGGGAGATGGACTGGAGACGGCTCTGCTGGAGGCCGGGGATTACAGGCTGGGGGGCAGGGGATGAAGTTGATTCCAGTTATTTTTTTCCAATGTCAGTGGGGAGCAGGTTAGGGGTGTGCAGCGGGAGGGCACACAGCGGGAGGTATATGTATGGGTCTGGGCTGGATATCAAGCCCTGGGGATACTGGCATGAAGATGGAAACTGGAGCCAAAGAGTGCATGACGGTCGAAGAGCATGAGGCTGAGGACATGTTCTAGGGAACGCTGGCTGTGAGCCTGGGGGCAGCCTGGGTCCCACAGCAGCAGCCATCTTCCTCTGTGGAGAGCTCATGGTATTTCTGTGGTCCAAGGTAGTCTAGAGGACCAGAGGGACAGAAGCCATTGTGTGTCATGGCCCAAGGGGAGGCTCCTAGTGGAGACTGGGAAGAGTGGGCATAAGTTTTACTGGCAGGGAAGTTAGCTGTGGAGAGAGGCAGAGACATTAGCACCCAGAAAAAGAAAATGAAGGCACAGGGAGTTTTGGCAGGTGACTGTAGACCAACATTGATCAGTCATCTGTGCAAGAAAAAAACAAGTCCTAGAGTGTAGCGTCTCCTGATTCTTGTGGGTAAGTCCTCCCACCAGTCTGACTTCAATCTAGCAGCTGGATGAGGGAGTGGGGAGCCAGCTGTGGCCACCGTTCTCCAGGCTTGCAAGAGCAGAGAGGGGGAAAATGTGGCAGACAACAGGGAAGTCAAGAGTTGTGAGGAGGATCACCTGTGTCTTCGCTCCATAATTGTAAATGTATGTAATTTAACTTGTAAGCTAGTTGTCAACTGGCTTGAGGAGTCCCCAGTTTTCTAACAAGTGGCTGTCACAAATTAGTCTGAGACAATATCAGCATACCACTGGGTTTGCTTTATTTTGGTGGTGGAAGTGGTAATGTGTGTGTGTGTGTGTGTAGAGAAGAAAAGCTTAATTGTGTTTCCATCCTGCAGATGGGAAGAATCCCAACTAGATAAGGAAGCACTAAACATGCAGTTGGCCTTCCATATTGGTGCATTTCACATCCCTGGATTCAACCAACTGCAGATAGAAAATATTTGGGAAAAATGCATCTGTACTGAACACCTGTTTTTGTCTTGTTATAATTTTCCCCAAAATACAGTGTAGCCATTATTAAATGCATCAGGCATTATAGGTAATGCTGAGATGCTTTACAGCATATCAGAAGGTGTGGCATGCATGGGTTAGGTGTAAATATCCACCATCAATCTGGTTATCTGCAAGGTCCTGAAACAGAGGGGGGGGGGGGGGGGAGAGGGAGAGGAAGGAGAGAAGGAGAGAGAGGCAGGGAGGGAGAAATTTGAGAGCAGTGTAGGGAATATAGTGAGACTCTGTCTTCAACTACAAAAAGGAGGGCTGATGATATAAGGTGTTGGGAGAAAGAGCAGACTCAAATTGAATCCAGGGTGGCCAAGGGAGTGAGTGCATTTGGGCAGGACAGAAGCCAAGGATGGGAGTGAGCAGGAAGACAAATTATGATGGCCTTATTTTTCTGGGATGCAGGAGACAGGATTGGCAAAAGCAGTGGGGGAATTTGCATGGGGGAGGGGACTTTGAGGACAGAGAGGAAGAAGAGTAACGCCTGCTTCTCAGAGTGGGGCAAATGGCTGACAAGGCAAATCCCAAAGCCTTCCTTGCAGCACCTGACGTAGGTGGAGGCCAGGTGTGTTATACAGGCAGTGTGCAGGACGATGGGATTTTCCCATCAGCCCCAGGGCAGCACGCAGGCCATGAGTTCAGTGGAACAGATCTGCTGTCTGCATGCTGCAGGACAAAGCAGCCAATCAAGAGAAGGGACGAACTGGAGCTACAGATAAGACAGGGGAAATGGGACAGGAAGCAGCTGTTGGGAAGAGCAGGACTGGGGTTCAACAGACTGGCCAAGGGGCTTGGATTCTTGAGGTCTATTTGCGGGATGGGCAGCTCCTTCCTGATGGCCTCAGCATCTCTGTCCAGCATTCCTGGGGGCTGACTACACCAATGGTGCTCTTGCTGTCCCAGTAATTACTTGGGACCTGAGTAGAGCCTATCTACAGCTTCCTTCACTGTTCACCCTCAGTGTGTGCCGGGACCCAAAGCGGGGATCCGAGGTGGCTCACTGAGCCTCCAGAGGTGTTTGATTGTCCTGGGAAGCACACAGCTCCCACACTTCCTCTGTGAGCCTGTGAAGTGAGCCATACATGGGTCAGAACTCAGTGCCCTAGGAAGTGAGCTGTATGTGGCCTGTCCCTCTGTGTGTGGCGAGGGGACAGCCACGGAGTATCCTGCTGTGGCCTTAGATTTGAGAAGCGGCTGCGGGGCAGCAGGGCTGATTCCACTGGCTCTCAGGTGCGTGATACGTGGCTGACGTGCAACGGGGCAATGTCGTTTTGGACAGTGTCAGAAGTTCAGATATGTTTTTTAAGCCAACCTGGCAGAGATCCAAAGAGCTCCTGCAGAAGGAGCTGGAGACAGAGGGAGATTATGTGGCTGTTAGTCCTCAGTCTTTCGGTATAATGGCACATTCCACCAAACACAAATTTCCTGAGAGCTTGTTATTCCAGGTGGCTGATTGCCAAGCCACGAGCCCTCCCGTCAGCTCAATCTGTCAGCTTCCTGCTTGAGAAGGATATGCTAATGACATGCAAATGACCTGCCGAGTGAGGCGCTCCACTATCATTTATCCAGTGAGCACAGCTACTGCAATATATTTCTATAAAATATTAGACCCGGTTATTTATATAATGATATAATACAGGTTTGTCTATGGCACTGTTGTTTCAATCTATAATTATATAATCTTGCTCTATTCCTGTAATACAGTAATGTAATATAATTATAATGCACCATATATCTCATTCATTATCAATATAATAGCAATTTGTACCATTAGTACTTCCTGAGGAACAAAGCACCCTCATGTCTGTCCCCATTACGCTGACCTTCCTGTCAGCCTGAATTCTCATCATCGCTACCATTTGGCCCTGAAACTGCCTTACCCAAAGGGGACTGCTTTTGGGGAGGCAGCGGCCTTCCCCCGACTGTGTCCTTAGCTTCCCTTGCGTGGACATCGTCCAGGGGTCTTCAAGGACAGCTGACAGTGCTCCCCGTCACCCTAGATGGCTCCTCCATCCACTGGGACTCTCACAGTAGTCTTGCTCACATGGTGCCCCAGCTGACATCCCCCCTCACCCCGAAAGATGATACGACAACCTCTGTGTCTCAGAGCAGCTGCTCTGGGTCCAAGACAAGCAAATCTTGTCTTTACCTCTTAGTCAGTATATGCGATCCTTGAACAAATCCCTGTATTTATCAACAAGTATAACTTTGCAAAAAATGAGTAATCAGCGTCTTAGGAGATTAAAAATAGCTGACAAAAAGCAAGGCAGATGACAGATCCAGCTCAGTGTACTCCTACACAGAAAATGTCTCCTTTCCTCACGCGTTCATTATTGGGTGACAAATGGCTAGAAGCGGATGCTTCTGGAAGGCTTGAAGCACCCGGTGGCCATGCTGCAGGTCACATCAATGGCCCCCATGTCACGGCTGGTCCTGGTCCAACAGCGGTATTCACATCCTTGTAATCACACAGGGATTCCCCATTATCTTCAAATCAATATGACAATTAAATGTTGTTACTGAGCCATCTCTGGGCTCCACTTGGGGGAGTTAAAAGCCCACAATGAACATTTGGAGCCTGCCTCACTCTGAAACCACTGTTGCTGTAACATTTGTCAAGTGTCCAATTAGCCACCGAGGGGTAAAAAAAAAAAATCCAATTGAGGAATATGTGTGACTTCACAGGCAAAGGACGCCGCATGGGAGGTGGCAGGTAAGGGCAGGAGCTAGGTTGGCAGGCCAGGGTGTAGGAGGCCTGGGAAAAAGAGCTCTGGTGATGTGGAACGCGATCTCTCGGACTGTAATGTGAGGCCAGGTCTGCCTTGCTTATCATCTCTTGGGGCCTTAGTTTCTTCCAATACAGCATAGTGGCCTTCTTGTTCCTCTGCTAACTGACCAGTCTCCCCGAGATGTCCAGGCTGTCTTCCTACGATGTCTCCTGACCCCACAATAACACCTTCACTGCCTGTGAGGAAAGGACCTTAGCATGACCCCCAAAGGTATGGCTGCACATGCAGCCGCTGGCCCTGAACCTATTCCTGACCCTGCACTATGACCTCTAGGAGAGAGCTCTCTGGGGACTTTCAATAGAGGGCGACTAGCATGTGACTGGAGAATTCTGGAGTGTTGGTGAGACTGTGTTCCCAACTGCTCATTTGGTATGTGGCAGCACTTTCCTATGATCACCAAAGGTGATCACCAGAGGTGAGGGGTGGTCGGAGGGCAGCGCTCTGTTGTACAATCCCGCTTGGGAGGACAAGGAGCCGCTGCTACTGGCACAGCCTATAGTTGGAGCGTAGAGTTCCAGCTTTGCTCCTGAATGTCTAGCGAGTCTCAGGGATGGCACCTGCAGACTAGTATGCCACCCCCCACCATCTGGCAAGCCTGGCCAAGCTCACCCTAGGACCCAAGCAATGGGCCTCCATCTTGTTCAACGCTTAAATGCCCCACCCGATGACTGGGGACAGCTGCAGCAGACGTCACCCCGCTGCGTCTGGCTCACATGCCATGGTCCTTGCCAGTTACTGTGTCTGAGGAGCCTCGTACGGCCTTGCCTGTAGGGCTATGGAACACTGCGTGGGTGCTGGTGAGGAGAAGCAATGTGACTTTAGCTTGCCGCGACCGTTGAGCGGATGCCCGGTGGGGAGTGTGGCCTCCTTACCGCTCCACGTGGTCCACGTTGCCTGACACACCCAGTCCCCCAAGCGTGTAAATCTTTCCATCGTAGACGAGGCTGTTGTGCCTGCAGCGTGGGACTGTCATTCTGGAGACCAGGTTCCAGTTGTCAAGCAGAGACATGTAGCACCAGACATCGGCCAGCGTCACCCCTGATTCCATCCCACCTGTGGGCAGCATGGGGGGTACAGAGAGCAGGCAGGGGCTGAGGCAGGGTGCGCACCAGCCGGCCCAGTCCCAAAGGTGGAAGGAGGAGGCTTCACCTGCAGAGGGGCCTTGGCCTTGCTCAGCTCTGCCACGTGGGCAGAGGCCCCTTGGGAAGCCCAGCCCAGCCCCGCCCCAGCCCCGAGGGGCCTCACCTGAGAGGTAGATGTTGTCCCCGGCACTCACTACACTGAAGAACTCGCGGTCATAGAAAGGCAGCGAGGCCAAGGGGTACCACTTGTTGTTCTGCGGGTTCCAGCAAGTGACGGCCACCAGCGAGCGCTGGGTCATCCCCACCATCTGACGGCCCCCAACCAAAACGATGACCTCAGCCACACCTGTGGGGACATGGATGGGCACCCTTGGGACACACCCTCCCGTTGTCAGCATCTGTGCCTGGCTTCTCTCTGGGGGGAACCCCAGCGCTGGGCTTACCCCATGGCACCCACGGTTCCCCACAGCCCTCAGTACCTGCTGAGAGGCGGGGCCGGGTTCGGGGTGTCTGCATCTCCTGGCGAGCGTGGGGCAGCATGTGGTAGCGTTTGGCCTCGTTGACCAGGTCCCGACATGCTTCTGATGACTTGATCAGCTCCTCATTGTCCACCACGTTGAGCAGGTAGCTGGGGTGGATGAAGGGGAGGCGGACGACTGCCAGGAGCTCGGCTGCATACTGTAGGATGAAGCAGACACGGCCCGGCTGAGACTCCGGGGAGGGAGTCTATACAACTAGAGTTGTGTAGAGAAGGAAGTGTGGGACTGTCCCAGGGCAGTGCATGGATGACGAGGGCACTCTTCCCAAGCAGCCTGGACAGAGGTGGGAAGGGCACGCAGGCCCCACGGCGGCAGCTGGTCCACGGTGGCCCATCCATTCATTCCTTCAGCACCTCATTTCTGCACTCCACCCTGGTCACAGGTCCCTGCCACATACCAGATTGCCAGGGGTGGGAACAAGGAGGGCGTGAGTTTACGGTGAGGTGTGAGGAGGGCAGAGACTTCAGAGCAGGCGAGAGGGCCCCAGAAGGACTTGAAAACACTGGTGCCTATGAGAGCCTGTGTGACCCCAACACCACAACTCCTTCGCGGTGGCTCCTCATCTCACACTGGCTCCGAGCTCCCCTCACTCTGGGCTGGAGGCTTTTCATGGACTGACCTGTACTCCCTGCCGCCTGGCAAAGTGCGCACCATTCAGCGAATAAAGGGTGGTCACACGTGCCACCCATTAAGCTCGTGGCTGAGGCTGCGGAAGGCGGTGGGATCACGTCCCTGATCTCCAGGTGTCCATAGGTTAATGGGGGAGAGGCAAGAGCAGGAGGCTGGTTAGGTGTGTAGGCCGTGCAGGAGTAAGAGGCGACAGAAGGCAGGTGATGTCGGAACTGGCTGGACAGGGGCTGGGCAGAAGCTGGGGAGGTTCACATTCAAAGCCATGCAGAGGCCTGGAAGGGGAGGGATATCTGGGGAATTACAGGGGGCTTATTTTTGTTGGATGCAGAGGGTTTTTGTTGAGTGGGAGCAATCAGCCAACAAGGAGCAGTGAGCCTGGAGAGGTTCACAGGCCAGGCTCGGCTGACCTCATCCTCGCGGGCCAAGGACTGTGCGGCTTCTCCTGCGAAAATTTTACACGGTGTTGGTGTGAGCCAATCTGTTGTAGAGACAGCACCCAGGCTGCAGGATGGGACATGGATTCAAAGGGAGCAAAGTGGGTGACGGAGACACCACTGAGGAGATGCTGGCTGTGACCCTGTGAGACTGGGGTGTGAAGAGGGGCAGCAGGCCATGAACCCATCTAAGAAGGAGGAAGGAAACAAGAGATAGACACGGTGTGGCCAGCAAAAGAACCCATGATCTGTCTTGGTCAGTGGGCAGAACTTAGGTGGTGGATGCAGGAAAAGACGTGGGCTTTGGGCCTGATGAATTAGATGGTTTGGGAACATCCTGCTGGAAATGTCCAGTAGGCGATCAAGGACAGAGATGTGGGTTGGGGCATAGATTTTGGAGTTGTTGCGAATTGTGGCAATCTGTCATTAGCTGCCAATCTAGTTGGCCTTCCTCTGGAAACCAACATAAACAAAAACAAACACTTGCCTCCTTCCAACTTGATCAAGCCTAAGGATCCCTTTCCTGCTCTGTGAGGAGCTGGAGGCTGGGTCGCGTGGGGAGGCATCTCTGTATGCTGTATGGCCCAGTCCCATCCATCCTAACACCTACTCCACCCCTCCCAGCCTTGTCCCTCTTATTCCCGAGCTAACACGACCGCCCTTGTCATCCATCGCACAATCGCCTCAGCTCATTCTGGGGTCTGACCTCTTTAACCTTGTTCTGCCTGATTAGGCCCTTGCTTCTGGGATGTCCCCATTTGCTGTTCTCTGAGTACCTCCTCAGCCTCCTCTCACCAGTTTCTGATACCCACAATAAGAATCAAGGCAATTCCCCTTAGAGCAGGGCCTCTAGCCAGGAAGTAAACAGACCCAGCGGCTCCCAGTGACTTGGGTGCCTCTCTGGGGCACTGCCATCTTTTCCTTCTCCCCTGGATGCTGGCGTGGATTCCTCCAGCTGTCCCTCCCAGGGCCTCACGCTCCCTCCTGTCATGTGCACAGTGGTCTTCCATCTCCTGCAGGCCTTGGATGGGAGCGCCTCCTGTCGGTCTGAACTCCTGGGAGCCCAGCCGAGCACCTTCCTCAGGCACCTATTTTGTCTTGCAGGCCCTGAGTGATGCAAATCCAAGTCCTGTGGCCTCTGGTCATCTTGGATGCACTTCAAGGTGAAATGACAGTCATGTAAGGACCCTCTGGCGACATGTTCATCTTCACATCTTCTCTTCTCCTCTCTGCTGCTGTGTGTGTGTGGCGGGGAGGAGGCATGGGAGACTGGGGAGCACAGCAGGACCAGCCTCCCTCTCCCTGGCCTAATAACTCCCCCACAACCCTGTTGGATAGATGGGAAACCCTGCTTTATTTACCACCGTTCATCTTTGCTGCAGATCCCTTCACTGCAAGGTCCCCCCAAACCCAGAGAGAAGGGGAAGGGACAGGCCAGGCCCTACCTGGGCACGTGACGCAGGGTCCTTCTTGATCCATTTGATGACGGTCTCATACACCAGCTCCTCGGCCTTGGTGTTGAGGCTGTCATTGGAGACGTAGGCGATAAAGTCGTCCTTGGAGATGCTGAGGATCTCCTCTTGGGCTGCCACCTCGGGGAAGATCTGCAGCGCGAAGGCCTTGGCCATGTGGTAGAGCTCGCTGCACTGCATGGCCTCGGCCATGGCCAGCACGCCCAGGCAGTTGCTGGCAGTCAGCTGCTTCTCTGGGATGACAATGTAGAGCCACTGATTCAAGGGCCCAGGGAGGGTCACCTTTTGTTCCCACCCACCATCACCAGAGTCCCCAAAAGCCCCTTCTTGTGTTGATGTGACAAGTTTTCTTCTGCTCTAACTCATACCGACTCTCCTGATCTCCCCTCTGCTCCTGCAGGTGCTGGCAGGGCCAAGGCTGTGAGGGGTAGTGAGTTTCCTCACCTTGTGGAGGGAGAGCTGAGGCTTTGGAGCCTAGAGATGTGTGTGTGTGTGTGTGGGGGGGGTCACACTGTGACTTACAGTGTCTTTCACAACCCTAACAGGCATGCCTGAGGTCCCAGACTTCTCTCTCTCTCTTTCTCTCTCTCTGTTGGGCATGAGGCTTGAACTCAGGGCTGGGGTACTGTCTCTGAGCTCTTTCGCTCAAGGCTACCACTTTAAGCCTCAGTTGCACTTCTGTTTTCTGGTGGTTAACTGGAGATAAGTCTCATGGATTTTCCTGCTTGGGCTGGCTTTGAGCTGACATCCTTAGATCTCAGCCTTCTGAGTAGACAGGATCACAGGCGTGAGCCTCTAGCACCTGGATTGGGGGATTTTTGATTTTGTGCTGGTCCTGTATGCCATCCCTGAGCATTTTGCTCAAGGATTAGCACTCTACCAGTTGAGCCATAGCTCCACTTCCAGCTTTTTTGGTGGTTAATTGGAGCTAAGAATCCCAAGGACTTTCCTGGCGTGGCTAGGGTATGGCTAGATAGACAACAGATAAATAGATGGATATTGCCCCCCTCCCTGCCCCCCTGAGTGATATATGGTCCCCACGCAGCTTACCAAGAAAGGACACACAGACTTTGCAGAAGGTGTGGAACTGGAACTTGCTGGCTGCCTCTAGCAGAGTCTTGGCATTCACGGAGTCGATGACCAGAGAGCCTGTGTAGACAAACTCCAGCAGCAGCTCCAGCACGTCAGCCTGCAGATTGGACAGCACCAGCTCCAGCTTCTCCCGGCCACACTGGCTGCTGTCTTGCACGGACCTAGGCACAGAGACCAGGGTGTCCTCATTGGCCACCAGGGCGACCATTGTGCTGCTGCCTCACAGGGCCAGATCTCCCTGCACACCTCGGTCACGCCCTTCGTTTTAGGACTCAAAGGACACACCAATGACACACCTGAACCTAATGACCTGACACGGGATCTGAAAGAGAAGAGTCTGACCAGAGGCGCCCAAAAGAACAGAAAACCCTGCTTATTACTACTCGGCATGTCCATGCAAAAAAAGATGCAAATCAAAAAGCATGAGCTGTGGATGGGGACGAGGACCAGGACTGGCCTCAAAGGGAAACAATATGGTTCAGCCCCCAGCTGGCCCTAGTGTTTGCACCAAAGATGACCAGCTTGCCCTGTCAGGGCCAAGGGAGAGCCTCAGACAGCAGATTCTCCAAGGCTCAGAAGGCTCAGATTGGCTGGGATGCCAGCCAATCAGAAGGCTTCCTCTGAGCACCTGCAGATAGGGCCCCAAGCTGCCCTGGAAGCCCCCCAACCCCAATAGTTCCCCCAAACATACTGTTTCCTTTTAGGCATGGAAGGGAAGCCCTTCATGACATTGATTTGAAACTGAAGACGAGACGAGATAGACGGACAGAATGGTTAGAGCTGGGAGGGGGAGAGGGGAACAATCAAGGACTTCCGCCACAGACAGCCAGCAGCCATGACCTGGGGCCTGGCCCGGGGCGGGGCCCTCCTGCCACATGGAACACGGGGTCAGAGTGGCCTGCGTGTAGAGTGTGCGTCGGGCTTGTGAACTGGGGGGGGGGGGGGGGAGCAGGGGAGGGACACAAATATATCAGTATGTTTATATCTGGTGTCTACAGAAATACAAAACCATTGCAAAGGCTCCTAAGGCCTGGCAGCCGCTCCCTAAAGCTGGACCTGGAAGGAAACAGATAAGATGAAGCGGAAAATAACACCGACACAGAAGTGAGGCCGGGAGGAAAAATACCCAGAGCGTTAAAAGTCAGGAGGCAGGTTTCTCAGAGGCCATCAACGTGGCCACCCCGTTTTGGCCACTCTCACCAGGCCAGCTTTCTGCACTGAGCCTGACCTGCTGGAGGCCGTGGCTGAACAGCAGCCTTGCAGTCCACCCTCTCACTTGCAAGGAAGCCAGGGGTCAAGACTCTTGTGGCTGATCCCTTGGAAACACCTGGGGCTGGCAGTGGGTTGGAGCAGTGTCTGGAAAGAGAGCAGGTTGGCCTTAGATAAAGGCCATCTGCCGGGTGGGTCAATAGAGCACTGGGAGAGGGCAAGGGGACCTGGGTGCTGTTTTGCCACTGACAGGTGGGCAGCCCGGGCTTCTCAGGCCCTCAGCCTCCTCTTCTGTAAGACAAGAGGATTGAACTAAATGAGGTCTGAAGTACCATGAAGACCTAGTGTGACATGACAGTACCTGCACCTGCACCTCTACCATTGGAACAACGTTCTCTCAAGTTAAGGCCTGTACAACTCAGACATGACCCTGTACAAAGCAGACTTGGCTGAGACCTTGCGGTCAGTGTGCCGGGCTCTCTCTCAGAAGTGCCATTCTTGGCCTTCCTCGCAGAACATTCACTTGATCAGGGCCCCTAACCAACCTTCTGCTTCTGAACTTGTGCCCGTGTGGGAAGCCGGGAAGTCTCGGCAGAGGCCTGTCTAAACCCACACATGCACAGAGACTCTGGACGTGACTGAACACACCTTATCTTCTGCTGTTGGGACCAAGTACCATGCTTGGGTGACTGTTAAGATGTAAAAAGAGTTCACGATGTGATGGATCCCTCAAGATCACAGAAACCTAGAGACCATCTGGCAAGCTCTGGCTCCCAGTCTTTGCTGCTTCTGCCTTCATTCCTTCATGCAACTCACTGCGCGTGCCCGATGTGCTTAGTGGTCACACTGAGCCCAAGCCCAGCAGGGTGCATGGGGTCAAAGCTCCTTACTTTCTCCCAAAACTCTTATCATTGCTGCTTCTCACACTGGCCAGCCCAGCTCTGCCCCCACCAGTCCTCTGACAGAGGAGCTCTACCTTCTGGAGATCTACAGTGGGACTTCAGCAGCATGTATGCTCATGTGCACACACATGTGAACAGATATGTACATGACACTGGCTGACCCAGTGAGGAGGAGTGCTGGGCAGCTGGGAGGTCTGAGGTCCCACGTGACTCTGTGAAGCTGGCCCGGCTGTACCACGGAGGTCTGCCTGCCTGTTCTGGGGTTTTAGACAGGGAGAGGGTGCTGTGGAGCAGTGGGAAAGCGAGGTAGGCTGCCCAGGGTCAAAGAGCATAGTAATGCTGTTGCGTCTGTGGCTATCAGCTATGTGCTGTGGCTCTGCTTACATGGAGCGGCGGCATTGGGTAAATGGTCTGTAGGGAGGGGCTGGAAGAGCACACGACTCCAGAAGAACACCTGGAGTGTGAGGGAGGCTTTGCTGGCAGCTCAGCTCAAGATCAAGGCCTGGACAGGAAGGTCTGTTCATTTACCCAGTGCATGTGTGCTATGTAGGCATTGTGAAGGCCCAGGGACTCTGTTCCTGACCACTAGCCTGTCTTGGGCCTGGGCCTGTTGCTCTGTAGGCCTCTTCCCTCTGAGTACAAGTCCCTGGGAGACATCTCCCCAATCCACCAATATGGAGCTTCAGCCTCTACAGACAACCTTTCTGTCCTGGTTTGCACTTAACCCTCCAGGTGTCTGAAGGTCCTGAGCTGCTCAGTCCTGTGTGAGACCTGGGGAGCTGCTGGTCTGTGAGGGTCATGACCCACCTGTGCTGAGTCATGCAGCAAGGCAGGAATCCGCCTCAGAGACCTTGTCTAAGATGCTGCACTAGTGTGGAACCCCAGCATACCAGTCCCCAGCTTCTGTCAGAAGATTAGAACTTCCTGGAGTCACCATCTTATAAGACTCCAAGGTCCTGGATACAGTCCCGACATGTCAGGGCTGGGGCTGCAGATGGTCAGGCAAGCCTGTCCTGAACTAGCGGGACCTTGGACACCTTCCCATTGCTGTGGCCTCTGCGGGGTAGAGCTGCCCTCTCCAGTACAGTCCTTCTTCCACACACACACACACACACACACACACACACTCACACACACACACACACTCACACACACACACACACACATGCAATACGCATGGTCACATGCTTATTACATTTTGCACATTGGAACTGGACACTGTCGGAAAGGAGGGGCCAGTGGTGATAGCTATGAACATGGTTGGTAACCTGTCCTGCCCTCCTGGTAAGATTCGTGTACTCAGGGACAGGGCACAGTATTTGGGCACACTCAAGTCTGGGTGTCCTGGGCCTATGGACAGGATCTGGATCACCCCTTGCGGGGGTGGGGTGAGGTGGGGGTTAGGCCTGGCACTGATGCTCCTGGCATTAGAGGGTGTGAGTTCGTCTTCATTAGCTCTCTTTTCAAGCCATACCTGTATATTCTGACAGAGAAGGGGGGGGGGAGAGGCTGGTACCAACAAATGCCAGCTTCTTGGGGGTGCAGTATGTGCATCTTGTTTAGGGCATTAAAGGCTGTGTCACTTGATGGGATGGGCTTTGAGGCCATAGTCACACCAGCTTCCTCTATTATGGCTATCTAGGAAAAGAGAATTCCAGAGTCTAAATATGGGGCTTTGTGAAAATCAGCTTAGAATAATCAGCTGACTTATCCACCCATTTTCATCCAGCATAGAAAGACAGTAGGATTCCAATGGCATGGACGGTCTAGCTGAGTGTAGATTCAGGCCTCTATTCTTTTCGTTACAGTGAAGAGCAACTCTGCCCCTGGGCTGGACATTTTCTCCCATACTCTGACTCAGAGGCATGATGGGAGCACTGGCAAGGGCTGAGGGAGCCTCGTACTGTCCCTTAAGAACAGTCCCATCCTAGCTGGGGATGGAGGTGCAATCCTAGGTCCGAGCTATGTGGGAGGCAGAGATCTAAGAAGTGAAGTTGGAGGCCAGCCAGGTTTGTTTGTTTGTTTGTTTTACAGAGCTCATGAAACTTCCTTCATCTCAACCAGTGGTTGGTGTGATGGCTCATGCCTGACATCCTGGCCATGAGGGGAATCACTGATAGGAAGCACAGGTCGAGCCAAGTGTGACAAAAGACCTGTCTCAAAAATAACACACTAAGGGCTAAGTAGCTCAAAAGTACCTACCTAGAAATTGTGAGTTCAAACCCCAACACCACCAAAATTTAAAAAAAAGCACAAGTAGTGGCCAGTGTCCTTGTGGTACGGAAGGATTCTTGGTCTCCAGAGAATGAGACTTCTCCATCCTGGCCCAAAAGGAAAAGCCAGGGCAGAGCTCCATCCTGCTCACTCAGGACCTGGATCCCCATCTCCCTAGGCCCCACTGGGCGCTACTGCTAGGGTTCCCTACAAGCCTGCATGCAAGACTGGGGGGGGGTGGATGATGTGTGGTCCCACGCCAATGCCTCAGCTGCTTGTCCTGCCGTTTCTACCCCAATCATTTCAGGGACACAGGTGGATCAGCAAAAGGAAAGGAAGGGCCGGCCAAGGGTTCCTAGCTTTGTCCTCTGCTCCCTGAGGGCCTCACGTGCCCTGGCCTTCCAAGAGCTCCTCAGCCTCCAGCCCTCACCACAGGACCAATTCTTTGCGTGCCTGCAAGTAAGGGCCTATCTCAAGGGGGCTTCCTGTCTTCTTTGGGCAGACCTTGAGGCCAGTTCACAAATGCTCCACACACACCAGCACAGATGCACGCACACCGTCCATCCCTTTTCCCTACATCTGCACTCAGCTCTGAGATTTCATTTTTATTTTCTCATAGACTTCAGACACAGCCAAAACACCATGTTTGTTTGTTTTTTGTTTTTGCTTTTGTTCTCTGGGCTAGTGAAAGGATGGCAAGAGCAGCAGTTCTGGAGTCAGGTGTCAACTTGAAGTCTGGAGTTACATATGTCACTTAAACATCTCCAGCCTTAATCTCATCTGTAGAATGGGGATGCTCACAGTACTAACTCTCAAGGTGACATGTCTATAAGGCTCTTTGTCACCAGGCAGTGTCCTTGTCAAGAGACAGACAGGGGGACTCAGGGAAGGGAAAGCTATGGCCTCACCACTGGGCACATGGAAAGAAAGGGCCTGGACGAGGCGGGCGCCAGGGGCTGGCACACAGACAAGCTGAGGGGACTTGGCTGCTGTGGGGGCAGCGCTGTGACTTGGCCCTCCGGGTCAGTGTAACTGCCATCTTTTTTGTTGTTGTTATTGTTGTTGTTTTGGTCAGTCATGGGGCTTCAACCCTGGGCCTGGGAGCTGTCCCTCTGCTCTTCAGTTCAAGGCGAGCGCTCTACCACTTGAGCCACAGCGCCACTCCCGGCTTTTTCTGAGTGGTTTACTGAAGGTAAGAGTCACACGGACTTTCCTGCCCGGGCTGGCTTTGAACCGTGATCCTCAGATCTCAGCTTCCTGAATAGCTAGGATTATAGGCATGAGCCGCTGGTGCCCGGCTGACTGCCATCTTTATGAAGCACAAATCTAACTATAACAAACCCTAGAACTAAAACCAAGCTGTGCAATGTGGCTCCAATTTCCTCTGGTAGCCGTTTCTGCCGTCTCCTCCCTCCCGCCTGGCACTGCAGTGACACTCAAGTCCCTTGGGACACCTCGAGCTACGTTTTTGTCAGGCCAATTGCTATTCTTCACTTGAAATCCAGGTCACAAGACCCTCGTGCAGCGTCATGCTGCGTCTCCCTGCCTATGCTTCTCTGCTCTAGCTCCTTATCCTCTGTTGCCCAGAGTTTTGTGCAAGACCTGGCCCGGGAGGGCTCCCGGGCTGCTTGTGGCACGGGTGTGACTGAGTGACCTGGCTTCCCACGTGCACTTCCGGTGACTGCAGGGAAAGCACCTACCCTGCGGCTGGGCAGGCAGGTGCTGTCCTTGCCAGGCTTGCTGCTGGGTCACTGTCTATTCTGAGGCTGCAGCAGTAGACACATGACTAGCCCAGGTTGAGGTAGAAAGGAGTCCAGCCTGAGCCTCCAGGCCTAGAGTTCTGGGACAGCAAAGGGGAGGAAATTACCTGCCTTGTTAGTGCCCACCCAGGGGAAGTGGGTGCTAGCCACAGGGTACTGTGCTCACAGATTGTCCCTATTTCTTCTTCTTGTCAGAGCACAGCCCCTGAGAGGGGCTCCAGGGCCAGGTTCTGAGTTCAGGGTTACTTTGCCCTACGAGTCTATTCCAGCTGCTGAACATTAAGGCTCCAGGGCCAGAGGCACGAAGAGGACTGAAACACAGCGGCAACACCAGCTGTTCTCCAAGCACTGAGGAAAAGTGAAATTCTCCATGCTTTTATGGAGCCCTAAAGGGAACGTCTACCTGTGAAAATTCTGCTTTCCCCTTTCAGAAGCATCTGTTTCCAACTATTGTCAGAAAGGGTGACATGTGCCCAAAGCCAGGGCAAGAGAAGTTAAAATTCAACATGGCGACAAATGAACACCGTGACCTCTAGCTCCTGGACCTCAGCCCTGTCTGGGTTCAGATCCAGCCTCAGGTCCAGCCATCTAGCCACCTACTAGGCATCTTCCTTGCAGGGCTGTGGGTGTCCTTTAGGCTATGAAAGCCAGACACGCCAGACTTCCCCCACATTTATCTGTGCACCTGCGCTCCCCCCTTTCATGCTCCTGACACCTCCTTCTCTTTCGTCCCGGCATTTGAACTTGGAACGTTTCTCCAGACTGGCACTGCCAAGTCACTGAATGTAATCATGGGCCTATGGGGTCAGACATGGACATCATTTAATCAACTCCTGGTTTACAGAGGAGAAAAATCTGAGGCCTAAGAAAGAGCACGTGGCTGGCCTGGGGTCAGGATGAGTGGCAGAAATAGCTATAGGACCCAGGTCTCCTGGCTCTCAAGGGTGTTCTCTCTCCTCCAGGAACTGCCCAGAGGACCCATCCTTTCCCAGCGGCACGTACGGGTGAGCATCCCCTCCCCACTGCTCCTGAAAACCCCACATCGTGCCATGCTCAGGAGGGCATGGCACCAGGCCATGTCAGCCTGGTTCAGCCTATTTTGAGGGGAGGCTACCTGCGCATGCCTGTCTCTGCCCCACCCTCTGTGTCTGCAAGGCTCTTCCTCCTCTTCTTGACCTGTCTAAGACGAGGGGCCTCTTTTCTGTTGTTGGCCTGGCTCCCAGAGGTGGGCCTCACTAGGCCCTAACCTGCCTCCTTTGTATTTCTCAGCCCATCTGGATCAAGGCCCAAGACCTCAGATGCTGGTCACTGCTGGTTCCAGAATTTGCCAAGAGTGGCAGCTTAAAAAGCTTCCTGACCTGAAGAAGCCACTAGAGGAGCCTCTTCACCCCGACTCATGCCTCTAACCCTTGTGCTCAGACAGCGAGAACCCAAGAGTTGTCTGTGAGATTGGGACATCACAAAGAGCCCGCCCCTCCTGCGTGGCTGAGGGCCAGTGAGGCTGGGCTGGCCTCAACGCCGGGCAGCCTGGCTCTATGCCAAAGGACACAAGGGATCGGAAAGGTGATGCCAGCAGTGTGCCATCCTGAAACAAAACACAGTTGCTCTGGGGTTAGTTGGCAAGTCCAAAGACAGCACTGGGAAGCAAGCAGAGGTCCTGTCCTCACACTCTGAGCACTGTTCCAGCTCAGCGTCCTCCCCGGAGAGGCTGCAAGGCAAAAGGAGCAGCGGCATTAATTTGCTGATGGGTGAGAGAAACGTGAGCGTTACCTGAGCCGGCCCCTCAGCTGCTCTCCCTCACTAAGGAGCTAGGAGGTGGCCCTGACTTCTTTGCAAGGGTATGAAACAGACAAACTAAAAAAAAAAAAAAAAATCAACATAATGGAAAAAAAAAAAGATGCTTATGCACCGTTCACTAAGACTGATCCAGGCAGAAATAGCTAGATGGGGCTTCGCTGGGGCCAAGGGAGGGCAGAGGCTGTGTGTTTAGGACACACAGGGTCTGTGCTCAGACAATGCCGGTTCAAGGCTCAGTGTAAAGGTGCCAACACAGGCGGCATGGGTGAGCTCTGGCTACATGTTCTTGTCCCCCATTCCAGCTGGAGCAAAGCGGCCCCTCAGGAGCTTCGTGCCAGTCAGTGGGGATGGCCTGCCTGGTCACCGTGTTCTCCTGGCGTTCAGTTCACCATCGATGGCATTCACCGTGGCTCTGGGGACATGGCGTGAGGGGCAGTGTGTCATGGTCCCTATAAGTCTATAGTCTCTTTCTCATTTCAGGATAGGGCTTGTGAGCCACAGAGAAGGTGGGGGAAGGATCCTGATGGGGACAAGGGTGTTGTCTACTGTGGGCAGAGAACCCTGTGGCCAGCAAGGCTGTGTGTGGGGCTGGGGCAGTGGCTGCTCTGCGTCTGTGTGTGAGGGCACTGGGGACGAGGGGAGGAGAGATGGCTACTGGCTCTGTGACAGGGAGTCACGCTTCAGGAACCTGCAAGAGAGGGGAGGAGAAAAGCGACACAAAAGCGTCCTACAAAGGAACAGACCCGACCACAGCTGGAAGGAAGGCAAACCTTTGAATCAGGTCCTTGAAATACAAGCTGCAGGAAGCTAGAACATTTTGGTGGACTTCAAACTCTCTGCCTTCAACAACAATTTTCAGGTCTGTAAACGCTTTCGCTCTGCGCTGCTGGTTCAATTCCTTCAACATTTCTGCAGAACAGAGAAGACAGACAGGGCCAGGTTCCCATTAAGAGTTTTTTTTTAAAATTATTATTATTTTTAATTTTAAAAAGTTTTTTTTCAAGAAGTAGAGAAATATTGTTTCTTGGCAAGACTGGCTTAACACTGACAGTTAAAAGAAGTCACAAACATAATGCATAAACAAGCAGCCACTGGGACGGGCTACATAATTAAAGGAATAACAACTTTAAAAAGCAAAAAACAAAAAAGGAAAAACAACTGCCCCCCCCAACCCAAAGCAAATAGAAACAAAAAACCAAATATGACTTGAAAAAAAAAAGATCAAACCCAGAAATTGAAAGGTTTTGGGGGAGAAGGGGGAAGATTCCCATACTGACAATTAGAAACAGAGAATACATCATCACAGACAGCTAAGAACTATGCTATAACTACAGAACAAACTATAACGAGCTCTCCAAATGCCAATGGGTGCCGATGTATTGGATACCAAGTAAAGCATGGCATTGTGATGTAAGATGGGCTGGACATGGTTCAAAGGAATAAAAACCACAAAACCTGCAAGAACAGCATCCCTTCTGTTAGACCCAGCCATGGTGTGGGAGCAAGCTTCTTGGAGGGGGAGGAGACCCCAAGAAAAGAAGAACCAGTTAGGGCTTTACAAGCCCCTTGCCTCCATGTCACAATTATGGGGACTTCCGGGGGAAGCAAGCAAGCAAGGGGCAGGGGTTCTTCATACCGCCCCTCCGCCACCCCTATTTCCTGAGCCAGCCTTCCCTGCTGGTTCCACACGGGGGAGCTGGTTTGGAGCCCCCACAGATCCCACAGCAACTTGCCTCTTGGACCTTCCCATCTGGTGTGTACGTACCTACCTTTGTCTGGAGTCTCGGCCACCTGGGACTGGCTTAGACAAGAACCCAACTTGGGGGTGGGCTTTACACCTGAGGGTTTCAGGAGCTTCTCTCAGACCCACCCCAAAAGTTAGAAGGGAGGAGGAGGGAAGAGTGTGCCAGCTACCTGGTTAGATGGCCAATGGTCCACCCTCAGCCTCACCTGGCCTGTCTGTCTCTGGGACATCCCTGCCCTTAGTGTTACTAGGACATCAGAGGTCTAAGATCCTTGGGTCAGAATGCCTAGACTGCCACCTGACAGGTGAAGGGGAGACAGGGACCTGAAAGTTCTGCTGCCATCATCCACGCCCTCCAGGTTATGCTGGCCCCAGATGCCATTCTAGAATTACCCCTCTGGCAGGCCCTGCTTCATACTGACCAGTGATTTGGGGCCAGTCCAGGGGGGCTAGTACTGGTAACCCACCTGCTGCATGTCCTTGGATTCTGAACCTTTTCCTACATCTATAGAATGAAAACAAAGGCTGCTGCTTTTGCCTGCCTGGAGTGAGGAGGCTCAGGTGATGCAGCCTTGCTAGGGACTGAGGAAAGGTTCTGTAAGCTGGTCCTTCTTTGCAAGCACATGCTGGATTAGGGCTCTGCTGAAGGCTAAGGAAGACTGGTCCTACGGAACACATCATAGGCAGGAGTGCGATGGTGAGCCTGCAGTCTTCGCTACTGCCCCCCTCCTCCCCCAATCAGGCTGACCTGTGGACCACAGCGGTGCAGCGGTAAAGTTCTGACTGGGACATCCACAAGCAGTGAGATTGGTCCTGGCGCAGGGAGCAGGTGCTCTAGAGATCATCAGTGTGCCGAGACCGGGGTGGAGGATGAGGGCATGTGTAGGATGGATGCAGGTAAGAAGACAGGCTACAAAGCAACCTGCCACCTGGTTGGTGAGTAGGGCTGGATCCTAAGCGCTTTGCCTGGTCAGGGGATTCTGCATAGGGGTGTACCCAGGATAAGCACAGATTTCTGGAGGGGTGGTAACTTGCCTCAGAGCCAGACCTGAAGGTGAACCTGAACTCGGCCTCCTGTCAGCTGTGTCGTCTTAGAGAAGTGGCTCAAACCCCCAAACCCCAATAACTAGTATCACTAGGGGTAGATCTGAGCGACTGTTGGTAAGAAGGGCCTTCCACGGTCAGAGCGTGAAGAAGGCCTAATTGGAAGGACAGAGACAGTATTGGGCACGAGGTACTGTGGGAGGAAAGGACACATCCAGGAGGAGGTTTGGGGGTGAGCCTATGGGATTAGTAGAGACAGGTACAGGAGGCAGTGGCTGAGAGGTTTGGGCTGGAGATGGCAAAGGCCAGGCGGGACAGCTCAGGGCGTCCTGCAGACTCAAGCAGCACCGCTCACCTGGCATCCTCTCATCCACCACACTCCAAACAGCCTCCAACTGAATGACGATGACGTCATCGTGCGTGCGTGCATGCATGTGTGTGTACTGGGTTTGAATTCAGGGCCTTCCACTCTCTCTTAGCTTTCTAGTTCAAGGTTGTCCTTTTGCTACTCTCACCACACTTCCACTTCTGGCTTTTTGCTGCTTAACGGGAGAGTCTCTCAGATTTGTCTCCTTGGGGCTGGCTTTGAACCAGGATCCTCACTTCTCAGTCTTCTGAGTAGCTAGGTTTATGACACTATCTTTTTGAGTGAGAGGACATAGAAGAACATTCCAGGCCGGGTTTCCATTGTTCTGGCTTTGCCCTTAAGTGGTTCTATGACCCCAGCAAGCCATCTCAAATCCTCTATGCACAAAGTGGCAAGGCCACTTGCTCCATGGGCCCCTGGTGATTGTGTTGCAGTCAGGGGGAGCCTTTGCCCTATGTCCTTGCTAAGGTAGTCAGAACCTAGGGCCAGGCAAACACAACTGCACCGCCTAGCCCTGTTCCTGGATCTGCCGCCCTCTGATGTGTTGCAGATTTTCACTTCATTTTATTTCATTTCATTCTAAGTCTTAGTATGGACTCCATCCACAGTCCCAGCCCTAGCAGCTATACCAACAGCCTTGGGAATCTCAGGGTGAGAGCCAGACCTGGCAAGTAGGTGCCTGGGATTTGGGGTCACCATCCTACAGATGGGTGCTTTCTGTTCCCTATGACTTTCCTTTTCTGGAAATCTAGATTTAATAGTTGGGGATGATGATTCGCTTCCAGATGAGTTTTTCAATTTATGAAAGTGCTCACTGGGGGATTCGTTTTCTACAGCAGGCCCGGCGCATTCCAAGTATTGATCACTTGGTATGCGCTTACTGCTGCCTGCGGAGTGCCAGGCTGGCAGGGAGGGCACTGCAGGCTACCCAATGCCTTGGAACCGCAGGAGGCAGTCAGCATCTGCGGGCCCAAGTGCAAGCTCCCCTCCTTGCTCTGGTCTTGGCACAACACAAACACTTAATTTTTAAGGTGACGGTTGAAACCCTTCCGAACAAATAGGGTCTGGCCTGGGGAGGGCTGCAGGCCTCAGAGTGGAGGTAGTCTCAGGTTGAGTCTTCAGAAGAAACTGCCTGCTGTACCTGTACCACAATTTAGTGGCTCTAGGATTCTGGGAGCGGAGTGGCCCCAAGACCCTCAAGTGGAGTTGGATGGGCGAGTGCCATCTAACTCTAATAGGGACTATTTCCTGGCTCCTTTGGTTTTGAGTGGGGTGTATTCCCATGCCTGCAGAACAGATGTGCCTGTCTTGTGGCCTGCTCCCTGACTCAGAACCACCCCTTCCCGCTCATTACCGGGACTCTCTGGAGGAGTTCATTGAGCTGCTGCTCTCTTGCTCTGACTACTCATTACAACCTTCTCTAAGAGTGCACCATCTCCTGCCTGGCTCCCACCAACCCTTTCCACCACACTCAGCCATCAGCTGTGCTTAAGAGCAAACCTTTCAAGGCTGAGCAGAGAGGCATCAAGGCCCTGTGTTCTGCCTCAATTCCTGGTGGAGATGTACCCCACCCCAGTGAAACTTCCCTGTGTCCCAGGCAGGTTCGCTCTCCCAACCTCTGTCCCCTCTGCCTGGCTCTCTTCTTCCTCTTCTTTATGCAGCAGATCGCCATGCGTCCTTCAATGCCAGTCAGGTGTTATTCTAGGCCAGGCTCTTTGCCTCTTTTCTTTCTTCCTCCTGCACTCTCTGCCCTCTGCCTTGCCGTGCTTGCTCCTCCAGCATCCCACGACACCTTTTTTATAGCATACCGTGCATTGTAATTATTTATGTACACGTCTGCTTCTTGCACTAGATGGTGTTTTATTTATATTTTTATCTGCAACATTCAGCTCAGCGCTTGGCATATATATAACCCATATGGTAAACTGCAAACATGTCTCTGCCATCGAGCGGCAGAGGTCATCTCCTACCCTTTGAATCTTGGCTGGACTTATGACTTGCTTTGGATCATAAAGAGTGTGGTGGAGATGACCTTGTGTGAGTCCAAGCCATGACTTCAAGGAGATTTGCTTGCTTTTGCTCACTCTGGAGACTCCTGCTATTTCCACCACGTGAATAAGCACAGGCTGGGACTAGCCTGCTGGGGGATGAGCGGCCGAAAGGAGCAGAAATGAGCCATCCTAGATGAGCCATTTGCACTACCCATCCCCTGCCAATATCAGTCCAGCCTCGCCTTGATCAACGGAGCCTAGCCCGAACTGCCAAACCAGCATCACAGTCTAAATAAGTGGTTGTTTTATGCCACTAAATTTTAGGATTGTTTGTTATGTGGCAAAAACCAATTAATAATACAAAAGGCAGAAATACATGATGAACTCAAGTGTTCAGACAACTTTCCCTGGTCATTTCTACTTTGATAGTTGGGTGTGAAGCTATTTTTTTAAACGTGGGAAAATGTGTCATCTTGTCTATCTTAGGCATGGAGTTTAGTTGTGTGAAATACATTCACACATATTTGGAACCAATCTCTTTCCAAAGAAATTCTGCATCCATGAAGCAGTTTTCTCACCCCTGGCCACCATCATTCCTCTCTCAGTCTCTGGCCCTGGAGGCTGCAGACTGTCTTGTAAATGGCTGGTGCATTTTACTTAGAATATCTTCAAGGTAAGCCGGGCGCGGGTGGCTCACACCTGTAATCCTAGCTACTCAGGAGGCTGAGATCTGAGGATCGCGGTTCAAAGTCAGCCCGGGCAA